CTGGGATCAAAACAAACTTCCACCATCGCTTACTATGTAAATAATGTTTCTGCAAGTGTTCCAAACTGCATTTTGCAATGTCTAATCTTTGATGTCAAATTACAAACTTCACATAAATCTGACATATTTACAAAGTACAGATGAGGCACCAGTGCCATTAAAGATGAGTTTAATGGCAAAACAAATATATAAGAAAAAAGAAATTTGCCATGGATTAAGTTGATATTGAAATGATGAAATGATATTGAATGAAATGTCCCAGTCAGTGAAAGTATCTTCCCTACCCCTAGACCCCAGAGGGGTAAAGCATACAGCAGGGGGGGGAGGTGCTCACCTCGTGGCAGGTATCACTGTACAGCAGTCGTGCTATTTCTGCCTGATCGCTGTGAACTGCAATGCAATGTTTAATATGTTACATGTAACACCAGCAGAACACATTTTATATATATATATATATATAAAATATATATATATATATAATTGTTTAGGTTTTAATGTATACTGTGAAAAGTAAATAATAGATACTGTTTTAGATCCTTAAACTATAAATCACTAAAAATGCTATTTTTTTGGCCTCTTTAACTGCTTTTCCCTTCCACCCCCTGCCCCTTCCCCCCCTTACCCACCTCCAAACAAAATGGCCGTATTGTGCACAATCAGCTGAGCATCTGCCTTGAACTCGTCGAAACTCTTGTATTTTCCGTCTGCGAGGTTCTGCAGAGGAACACAAAGACGTCCATTCATAGTTAGGCTTGGCTTGCCTGAGGGGGACAGTGCCACCCGTGGCCACCAGAGGGCAGAGGCGTCTTATCAGCTACCCATTTCACGTTTTTGGGACTGACCCCCACCCCTCTCACCGCAGTTTTAAAGGTGCTGCCTTTCTAATGCCTACAAGGGCTCCTCTCTTGCCCCGGTTCTCCTCTCTTGCCCCGGTTCTCCTCTCTTGCCCCGGTTCTCCTCTCTTGCCCCGGTTCACACAGGGGCTCCCAGACACTCACCTCCTGAATGTTGGCCACGTCCAGCGCGGTGTGGATCAGCCTTTTGTACATCGGATGCTTGGTGTCTTTCCCTTTCTTATTCAGATCCACAGCCTGCTCATGAGCACAAACATGAACAGCATTATTTCAAGTCTAACTTACTCTAGCTCACACTGACTGAGAGAGAACCGAAGACCATTCACCGCTTCCACTCAGTCTAACAATGGCGGTTCGTGGCCAAGGCAATTGGCCGAGGATGGGCATCTTCTTAGGGGACTTGGCAAACCATGGGTGCCAACCTCCCAAGTCAACAACTTTTACTGACAAATTGCGGGGGGGGGGTTGCCTAAGGCCCCATATAAGCATCAAATGATACTGCATTCTGCGGCAATGCATTCCCTGCTCCAGATGTTCTGCTCCATTCCGGAACACTCACCCTCTCCTTCATTCTCTGCACGATAAAGCGCAGATATTTGCTCATTTCTTGCTTGTTAAGGTTCTTCTTTTTACTGCCCTGTAAGACCAAACAGACGCTACATATTACCTAAACATGACGGAGAACCGCTTCGTCAAGCACACCGATATCAGAAAAGAAACACACGAAGGTAGGGAGGAGGGAAAGGGGCCCATTTCACACACACACACACACACACACACACACACACACACACACACACAGGAAGTGAGCCCACTCTCAGTCTGGAAGGGAAACAGCGCCAGATTAAAGATACAGGCCCACGCATGCCAAAGTAGGAAGCCAGACCACATTAAAGATACAGGCCCACGCACACACACGTTTGTTTCGGAAGTTGGCCGGCGGTAAACGGGGCCTGCCGGCCGCCCACCCGCACACACAGACAGGCGGCACGGGGAACGCACACACCTTACACACTGCACACTGCCAGTGGGTGCCGGTGTCCCGGGGCCGGCTCTCCTCAGCCAGGCAGCGCAGGTGGAAGACGCGGAAGCAGCCGTCGCACTCCAGCACCTCGCCGGGCAGGTGGCACTCGAAGCAGTACCAGTCGTGGCTCTCCGCCTCCCAGTCCTGAAAGAGAGGCCACGGCGTAACTGGCGCCTTGTAGCCCCGCCTCTCCACAGGAGCCCCGCCCCTTCCAGTGGCTTGGGGACGCATCACTGGCGCCTTGTAGCCCCACCTCTCCACAGAAGTCTGAATGCCTTTGGCCAGGCAGCTTTGCACTGAGCAAACACACCACTGACAAACCCCAAGAACACCTGTTAGCTGTAACTTGCCACCTACTGG